AGCAGAATTATCACATTTTTAATTGTAATATTCAGTCACTAAGAAGAATTTTTACATCACATTGCGTCATGTGGAGGCCGATGGTTGCTAGTCTGACCAGAGATGTTCTCTATGGGTATCACGGAAACTACTGGAGATAGAGAGTCGGTTAAATGGGGAAAGAATTGCAGTTTTGTGGGGTCATAAACATGCGCCTTTCAGATTTTTGAAAAAGTTCATGGCTTACTAGATATTTAAAAAAAAAACTTTTGGCTATTTTAAAAATTGTCCCTAATTCCATTAATATCTATTTTAGACAAAAAGTTTTCAGATAAAAGTTGTAGATAATCACATCCCTCATGAGTTTATGTCCTCCGATTTTTTCTAAAGCTTGTCATTTTCGACATATGACACAAATATAATTTGTTTTTTTTCAATGGAAACCATAGTTGGCCATGATTTCACAAAAAGCGCCGTTTTTTAAGCTTTTCAGCGATATAAGCTATATGTTTTTTTTTTCGAAAAATTACTGACTTAGCTGAATTGAATAGCCAATTTATATCCTTTTGTATAAGTAAGTTTATTTGTAGTAATCTTTCATTTGGAAGAAAATCGGTATCAAACTTTAATTGTGTTTATACTTATCCTTATACAGGGTGGTCCGAATAGTATTCGGGAAACTTCGGCAGCATACTCTGCAGATAAAAATAAGTAAAAAGTTTATTTTTATTTAATTCTTTTCCAAATAATTTCTGAACAAAGGTCAATATTTGGATGAAAATTGGTATCTGGGTGTTTTTTGATATGAAAAATTTGATTTCGATGTCAATAAGACTCCTACTTGTAGGGGAGGCCATATACATGTTTTTAACTGTTTTAAAGAGTAATAATTGTTCGTCCGTACTTGTATAAAGCTACCGAGTGAAAAAATATACATTGTCATTTTTTACATAAGAAAGGTATCTTGGCAAAAATCGCTACGAGCAACCGTTCTCAAGATATTTAGAATGGAAATAGTCAATACATACCATTATCGACAGAAAATAAACATATTGAGTAGATAATTATTTGACCAGCCAGTAATTTTAGAACTTTAATTTTTCTTTTTACCTTAATCATGCGCTTTCTTCGAACAAATTACGATAAAACAGCATTCTGTTAATCCCTTGCAACAAAACCATTTCAAATTTATTATTTTAGTCTTAGTCTAACAATAATTATGTATGATCGAAAAAGGCGTCCACAGTTGGCTGGGAAATGACGATCGATAACATTTCCCATATACTTACATATAAAATAACAGCGATCTTCGTTTCATAGCCATCGCTGACGCCGTTTTTTTCGATCATACTCTAGTAACATAAGCTTAACTTTTGACAATGAAATGTATTGATTATTTCGTTTCCTACTATTCCAGGTACCGGGTAGATTTTAGTTAGACCTGGACACTTATTTTGAATTATATGGTGCTCGTGAAACAAAATTCCTTAAAAAATGTTGTGGATAGTTAGTCATTGTCGTCCAGATTAACATACTAAAAATCCCCACCCCGCCGAGCGTGCAAAGTACCCGAAAACCACCCCTAAAGGTAGAATTTTTTAATTTGTTAATAATAATAAAATAACGTAATCGCTAACTACCTTAGCATCGTCAGCGAGTGCCCAAAACTGTAATAGTCCTTTAATTTTTATAATTTTATAGAGATTTATATATCTTATTTATATATCTTAGTGGGGTTCTGAGGAAGATTAAAAAATTATATTTATATTTTTATTTCCTAATATTTCAAGTTATTTAATAAAACATACTTAGGTAATAGTTCAAAATATTTACACTTAATCTGGTATTTATTATATTATTGAATTCTGGATTGTCCACTGGAACTATTAGAAAGTTCCTCTTAATTACGTTTCAAGAAAACAGGAGAGTCGTTTCAAAAAAAATAAATTTAATTTTTACTAATAAAGTACAAGGCCATATAAGAGTAAAGACAATGAATGAATTTAAAATGTGAGAAAAGAGTCTCCTCAGCTTGGTGCAGGTGCTCGTGGAAACTGCAAGGACCGCATCTTCCCATCAGGATGGCCTGATCTTTTTAGCAGGTGTGCAGGAATCCGTGGGCGTGACTTCTTCTTCCTTCCTATTGATTTCATCATAGTCGAAAACAATTATTCTTTTTTATTTTTCGGTTCAAATTGACTAAAACATACAATATGATTATACAGGGTTTCAGAAATAAGTGCAAGTATTTTAAGGGGTGGTAGATCTCGATAAAAGAAACATATTTTTCTTTTACCGTTTTTCAAAAGTTACGTACAACGGAGTTATTTTACTTTGAAAATTAAAAAAATGATTTTTAGCTCAAATTTGAGAACCACTGGATCTTTCTGATTTTCATTTTTGTAAATTTAATCTACTACCTATGTTGCCATACTATCAAAAAATTATGTTTTTTAACTAAAACTAAAAATTCAAAATTCCGAATTTTCAAAAAAAAAAATTTTCGCAAAAAACCTCATATAGGCATGTTTCTGCAAAAGTTGAACTATACTGTCGATCGTGCCTAAGCTAACCTGTGACGTAGTTGAGGTTTTTTAATGGCGGATCGAGTTACGAGACAGCCTTATATTTTAATAACCTGGTATTTTTGTTACGGTTAAGGTGCGATGTCCGGTTAATGTCGACATTACCCGGAAGTTAATCTCGAGAATAACGCACAACAAAAAACAGCCAAAAATAACTCAAAATAACCTGTTAATGTCGACAATAACATGGACATCGGGACTTTGACCGTAACATTTACATAGCGGACCCACCAAATTTTTACTGTCAACTGTCAAAACTAACTGTCACAGTGACACGTGTCAACATTGGCCAATCTATCATTGTACCAAATTTCATTTAAATTGGATGATTTTTTCTAAGTTGTAGGCTGTCTAGGCGGTTTCTAATGTGTAGGCACTTTACCTCCCGCCTGTTTTGTCGCGTGTCGTGTCACACCTGCAAAGAAGTTTCACTTCAAAAAATAGATTGTGCTCCGTCTTTTATATAAGCGGGTTGTATACAAAAAATATATTCCGTATATACGATGTGTGTATTACCTGATGGAATGATTGCAAAAAAGTAATGACTTTTGAATATTACATAAATAATTTGATTATCCTGTACTTCAAAGTAACATGCAGGGTGGGTAAAAAATAAAAGTTCGTTGATTCAGGAATATGATACATGGTACATTTGATTTGAAAGATGTTTAAAATAAATTAGCAAATATATATTTATCATTACTCGCCATGAGAACATGTCCAACAGCAGCAATGGAGGTCATTCTAGACCTAACAACACTGCACACATTGTCGTTGGTAGATATGCCAATGTGACAATGATTAAAATGGTCATTAACAAAAACAGTACTGGGAGAATTTTAGGTCAGGGGTTTGGAACACCCTCAAAAAGAAAATTCCACTTCTCCAACTCCCAGTGGATGACATACCAAGAATTTACAACTTTGAGAAATACCTCACTATAGTATTGATTGAGTAATAAAGGTTTGGAAGAAAGGAAACGCTTACTCAGCATATAAAGACCATACCATCACGTGATATACTGATGTTTCTAAAACCAAAGCAGGGAGAGGATAGGAGTATTTGGGCCGAAAACCAAATACTCCGAAACCACGCACCTACCCAGTATCCTTCAGGGTAGAAATTTACGCTATCGAAAGATGCGTACAATTTATCTTAGATAGGAACTATCAAAACAGGAAATTGCCATCCTATCCGATAGTCAAGCAGCACTTAACGCGATCAACCTAGTAACCATCAATTCGAAGTAGTTGGTCAAAGAATGCCTAGAGAAGCTCAACAAATAGGGCAAAGAAAAATAAGTCCTCCTACTCTGGGTGCCTGCTCACCAAGGATAGAAGGCAATGAAAAGCAAAATGATCTAGCTTGTGAAAAGTATGAACACTCCACTAACTGGACCAGAACCGTTCTATTTCCAAGCGGAAACCAACTGAAAGGAACTGAAGAATCTATAAGACTCCAACCGTAACTTGAAATGGGTGTCCTCCAACGGTCTAAACTACTCGAAGAAATTTCTCAGAACTAACGACCGAGAAAATCAAAGCTTTTCCCTTGATATAAGTAAAAACAATCTTCGGATTGTCACGGGGCTTTAACAGGACACTGTCTCCTCAACGAACACCCCAGTAGGTTGAAGCTGAGAAAACAACGGCGAATGCAGACACTCTGGGGAAAATGGGAAACACCAGAACACCTTATCACTGTGTGCTGAGACGACGACCTTTCGTGCCAGTTATACTGACCCTGGAGTGTTTCTAGATACTGACTTTTGTTAAAGCCCTGATTGTATGATGGAGTTATAACTCGTTATAACTCAAAAAGGGGAACACACAATAGATCTATAAGGTCGCGGCAATTAACCCCCCCAAATATTCGTATTCTACAAATGCTTCGATATCAAATTTCAACCGTAAATTTCAAATTTTAAATCTTGCCTTCATAACACTTACAGCAAATATTGTTAGATTATTATACATAAATTTTATATATCTAATAAGAAACATAAATTTAAACAACGTATATAATAAAAAATAAGTCTATTTGATATAGAAAATAACTATTCTATAATAAAAGTTGGAATATCTTTTTGTTGAGTGTTAAATATGTCTGTGCGTAGAAAAAAATATTTATACAAATTATATACCTGTAGGTCACTCCTGCAGCATCAAACATCATTTTCGAAGCTCGTGTTTTGTTTGTATATGCGTTCTTATCAGACATATAAACAATTGTACGGATTCCTGATTGTATAATAATTTTTGCGCATTCATTACAAGGAAACAAAGTAACATAGATAGTACAGTTTTTTAAATCTGTCATATTCTTGTTTGAAATTGCATTCATTTCAGCGTGACATACTAAAAGAATAGAACATCGACTCAGTTTTAAAACGTTTAAATTTGTATTAGTTTTTATATGCATAGTTACCATATAGATGTTTATCCTTTAGGCTTTTTTTTTAGACCATGAAATTTTCACATCCGTTAGGCATTTTATTATGTCCTATTCCAACAATGATGTTACGTTCGTTCACTATAACTGCTCCAACTTGTGTACATGGGTCTCTGCTTTGTTGAGCAGTTAAAAATGCAGTTGCCATAAAATAGTCAGATTGTTCCAAAACATCCTCGCGCCCTCCATTAAGATTTCTGAAAACAATATCATGTTAGATATGTTAACATCGTAACTATTATGTACCATTATAATATAACAATACCTCGGTTCAGTTGATACGTCCATGGCAATTCTTCGCAGAGAAATATAAATATAGTACTTGCCTGCACTTAAATCAGTACTGTAGTTTTTAGTGAATAGCATAATCACGTATGCTTAAATCTTATATACTTAATCATATACAGCTAATAACAATGATAGATATACTATCACTTATTGTTTTAGGGTTGTATTCATCTAATTCCTGGTAAATTGCAACCAAGTACTTACTATTTTTAATATTTAAAAACAAAATCAATTTACTAACGTTTATAGATTACTACGAGTATCAGTAAAATAAAAATTTATTGTAAAATTATATTAATAATTAATGGAATTTCTGCAACGGTCTGAGGCATTCGAAGAAGTTTCTGAGGACATACGACCAAGAAAAATCAAAAATTTTCCTTGATAAAGATTAAGTAAGAACAATCTTATAGTTATAACTCAAGAAAGTGAGGCACAATAGATCTGTAAGTTCTCGGTGATTAACCCCCTTCCCACTCATTCTACATTCTACGGGTGAATATGTTCATTGTTGACAGAATATTTACCGTAAAGTTGGCGGTACGGCGACGTGACGGTGATGTTACGTATAATGAGAATCCCGCATTAATCAACCAACAAGTAACAGCTACTAAATGTTCCTAGATGCCAACACGTATGTACTTTAAATACACGGCAATGATAAGTTTGATGCTCGTTTTTTAAACGATTTTGTGAGCCCGCGTTTCATCATTTTTATTCAACTTTTTGTCCATTACCAATTTCTATTGGATTTATAGATTTCTAATTTCGTCATCGATTAAGCTGTTCCTATATTTTGGTATTGTTTTGGAGAAGAATATTACATATTACTCTTTTAGATACTTACTAATGTGTACCCGCGACTTCCTTCGCGTTGAATTAATCATATGTAATGGGGATAATAAAGCAAAGCAAGAATTTCCATTAACATATTTTCACATTTATGTCAGTATTAGAGAAAACATATGATATTATTATATAACTTGGTAATATTTGAGGGGTAGTTTCATCTCGTTGGAATTTGACTTTCAAAAAATCCGTTTGCCAAAAATAAGTTTTACGTCAAGCAGTTTAAGCAGAATCGTGGTTAATCACTTACCCAACTGAGCCCAACTTTTGAACACCCTTTTTTTTAAAAAATTCAAAATATGTAAAAAACAAAATAAATTATGCGTGTCCAAGCGTGTTCCTGAAAGACTAACTGTTGGTTAAATAACAAATATTGTAATATTTGAGAGGCGGCCACCCTCTGGAATTTGAGATTCGAGAAACCTCCTTATCGAACCCCACAGTCAATCCTTTGGCCAAAAATCAGCTTTAAACGTCAAGCAGTTAAAGCAGAATCGTGATTACTCAATGGTCATATATTTTATGAACACCCTGTGTACTTTTAAAAATCTTAAAATATGTAAAACAATAAATAAAATATACGTGTTTAAGTGTTTTTCAGAAAATTCACCGGTTTTTAAATAAAATTTAATATTTGAGGCGGGTGGTTTTACCCTAGGAATTCGAGTTTCGAAAATCCCTTCTTATCGAACCTCTACACCTAAAAGTCAATCTGTCTCCAAAATCAGCTTTTTACATCAAGCGCTTTAAGCAGGATAGTGATTAATCACGACCAGATTTTTCTGAAACACCCTGTATATTTTTTAAAAACTTAAAGTATGTAAAAAAAAACAAAAAAAATATACGTGTTTAAAAAAATTAAAAATTTTTTTTTCGTGAAACTTAACCGCTTTCTTAAAATATACGTTTTTTAAATAAAAAATATTGTAATATTTGAGGGGTGGATTTAATTCCCTTGGAACTGAATTTCGAAAATCCCTTCTTATCGAACATTTTTTTTTAATTCAACAATTATCGAACCCAAAACACGCTAGAATCAACCTGTATGCCAAAATTGGAGCTTTACTTTGAGTGGTTTGAGCAGGATCCTGATTAATAGTGAGTCACTTAAGGATTTTATATATTAGTATAAAAATATTATTATTATTATTTTATATATTAGTATAGATATGTTCTTATAAAAATTTCCTTTTCCAAGTTATCAGGAAGGAACATCAGAAAAGAGCATGCGACTAGCCAAATAATATTACATTAAAACTGTCTTCAAACCTGGAACGATTCTAACAAGTATCTGAACAAAATCCGGAATCATCGAAAAAAATGACTAGTGGTCCTTTGTGAAGTCCTTGTGAATGCGGTGAATCTTATATTACAGAGACTAAACTACCTCTAAATGTACGACTTAACGAACACAAAAAAACACGTACAAAGACGTGAAACAATGAAGTCAGGTATTGCACACTATGTGTGGTCTAAACAGTCTAATAAAAAGAGGTCGGAAGCTCGTGTCATCCACAAGAACGTCAGTGGAAAACACGTAAATTTAAAGAAGCCGTTTTTTTCGAAGAGTTTTTCTCCACGATATAGCAACTACTTATAAAACGCACCAATTCGAGTATTCTCAGTGGACAACTTCACACTTCGCCGATTTAAATACGTAAAGGCGTATCTCGAATTTTGACGAAATTTAGATAGATCGGCCAATGCACATAAATTTAAATGTTCTTCAAGTTGTGACGTTAAGGCGTATCTCTAAAACGCACTGTTCGCTTATAGAAAATAAAAAGTTAAGGGCGTTTTGCCTGGCGCTTTGTTAATCGCATAACGTAAAGGCGTATCTGAAATAATGTGTTAAAAAACCCTTTATAGTACATTTATCAGTCAATTTTATCGTTTGTCTTATTAATCTTGCCTTGAGTTAAATAACCTCGACAAATGAATCTCCCAATTTTAATACTCCGAGACCTATGTTTAAAATAGTAGTAATTTTTCTAAATTCGCTCTCCTGCGAAAAATCGTTGCAGAGTTACGCCTTTACGTATTTTCAACGGCGACTTGACTGCACTCAATCTTTTCGTGGGTAGTCTAGTATACAGGGTTGTTCACCACATACGACACGGAGTATTGTAGCTAAAGGATTAGATTTTACAAATTGTAAGTTTTGGGTTCAAGTTGAAGGACCATTAGAGTTTTGCCAATTTGTAAATATTTTTACAACATACATAATGTCCCAAATAAATAAAAATATTAAAGTTGTATTTTTTTAAATGGAACAATCTCTGTATATTATATTTTATTTTAAAATAAAATCTACAAAAATATAAATTTGACTAAGGTTTATTACACTTTAAATCTTACCGTTTTTAAATATTTTCAATTTTATGAAATTGCAGTAAAAATTTTAAGGCTTCATTTCTCCAAGGGTATGAAAGTTTTTAATACTAAATATTTACTGAAGTTTATTTATTGATCAGTTATTGTGTTGCAATTATAAAAATTGTACTAGAATTTTTTTTTAGAATTTAGAATGAGTGGGAGGGGGGTTAATCACTTCGACCTTACAGATCCAGTGTGTCCCCCTTTCTTGAATCATAACTCATCATACAGTCCCAGGGCTTTGACTAAAGCCAGTATCTGGGACGGTTTTATAGAGGGTAATTCTCCATCTCCAATATCAGTACCAAAATTCATGGCACGAATGGTTGTCGTCTCGCGCACTCAGTGATGAGGTGTACTGGGTGTTTCACCATCTTCCCCACAGAATCTGCATTCGCCGTTTCTTCTCACCTACTGAGGTGTTCATTGACTAGACAGTGTCCTACAAAACCCTGTGACAATCCGAAGATTGTTCTTACAAAAATGAAAGAAAATAAAAAAGATTTTTCTTGATCATAAGCCCTCAGAAACTTTTCGAGTGTCTTAATCATTGCACGATTTCCATTCCAGGTTGGGATGGAATCTTCCAAGTTCTGAGTTCCGCCTTGAGTTGGTTACCACTTGGAAAGCAGAACGGTTCTGTCCAGTTAGTGGAGTGTCTGCTCCTTTCTTAGCTAGATTATTTGCTTTTTTCATTGCCTTCTATCCCTTGGTGAGCAGGCACCCAGTGTAGGAGAACTTTGTTTTTTTTGCCTAATTTATTCAGCTTCTATGCATTCTTTGACCAATTTCGAATTATTGATACTGAGTTGATCGCCTTTAACGCCGCTTGACCGCATCGATAAGATGGCTATTTCTTGTTTCCGATAGTTCCTATCTAAGATAAGTTGTACGCATCCCTCGATAGCGTAGATTTCGACCTGGATTAGGTAGTGCCCATTGTTCGGAGTATTTAGTTCCCAAACACTCCGATCCCCGTTCCCGTATTGGTTTTGAAGCACCAGTATACCAAGTTATGGTATATGGTCTTTTAACTGGCTACAAGCGTTTCGCTCTTACAATCCTTCTTATTGCTCAATACCATTGACATGTTTGTCGTTGTACGTTTTGGCATATCGTCCACTGGGAGTTGCAGAGTGGTATTTTTGAGGGTGTTCCAAGCCCCTGATCTGACAATTCTCCCAGTGCTAATTCCGTTAGTGACCATTCTAATCATTGTCGCATTGGCATATCTACCACCAATAATCATGTACAGTGGTGTTAGATCTAGAATGACCTCCATTGCTGCTGTTGGACAGGTTCTCAAGGCTCCTGTGATGCAAACACATGCTAGTCTCTGAACTTTGCACAGGTTTAGCTTGCCGTACGTTTCTTTAGTTTTGTGTACCAGGCAACTGCTCCATAAGTAATCATGGGTCTTACTATCATGGTATACATCCAGCGCACAATGTTAGGGGAGCAGCCCCATCTATTTCCGGCCAGTCTTCTGCATATCATGAGAGCCTTTATGGCTTGCTGGTAGTGTTCTTAATATGCCTGTTCCACAGGAGTTTACCGTCCAGGGTTATTCCCAGGTATTTAACTTCCTGTGTTGACAGTATTTCCTTTCCATCTAGTTGAATAATTTTTCAGACTTCGCCCTCTGGTGAATGGCACTATCGTGGTTTTGTCTGAGTTGATACACAGCCCGACAGTCCTACACCATCTCAGTGATACGGAGTCCTCTTTGGACAATATCACACAAGGTGCCTTCATGTTTCCCCCCAGCAATCATGACTATGCTCATCTGCCCAATGCAGTGTATTCCCCTGCTAGAGTTAATCTCATCTAGTGGCTCATCCACCACCAAGCTCCACAGCAAAGGGGAGGTTACTCCACCTTGTGGAGTTCC